GCATATCAACAGCACGAGAAACAGTTGGCACACTGACAACACCATGTAGCGACTGGCTAGTGGGGTCCACGACCGCCAAAGCAACGTCTTCTATGCGTGCAGATTCCACAATCTGTCGTCCTATACCTGGTAAAATTTCCAGCTGTCGCGTTCTTTCGAACGTCTTCATCATGTCTCATAGAGTGCTTGTGTCATTGGTCCTCGACGTAAGATCTTCAGCCGACGGAATGCTCTTACCGCAGGACAGAAGTTCTCGTCATTCTGGTAGAAAAGTTTCACTAACAGAGCTTTGTCTTTCAAAGTCGCCATTGTGCATCAGCGAGCTGGAAACAACTGCCTGTTCAAGGCCTGTCTTCCACTTTTGTAGGGCTCGTCTCTTTGGATACGTTGCGCAGAAGCTTTATTTCTGCAAATCACGTTGCTGCATTATGGACATTACTAGTGTTACAGCGCCACCTATCGGCAACTTCTTGTACTTTTTTTTAATTGTGTGTGTGTGTGTGTGTAAAATCTCGAGCGCATGATCTGAAGTGTCTGTTTTTAAAATATCATCACATCTATGACCCATACAACAATCTGCACAGGCTTCTGAGTTGGGGAAAGTTTAATTTGGATAACCCTGTACTTCTGTGGATCGTTTGTTGACTAAAAACTGATCTAGTCATGTGTTGGCTGATAGTGCGGTACAACTATCCTAATAAACAGCAACAAATTTTTAAAAAAGCGGCGTAAAAATTTGAAAAACATTCACATTTTGCGTAAATTTTGATTTAAACAAAATGTGATACAGTTTGTCTACTTCAATTTTTTCTTAAATATTTTTATCACAAAATAAGATCTTTATGAATTATTTGTTTAATTATAAGAAACAAATTTTATATAGAAATAAAAGCGTTTTTTAAATATTAATACTTTTACTTTGGCACTTAATTTTAGAACTCCAAATAAACAATTCGAATAATCGTGGGTCTACTGTACTTCCATAGAATTTTTCAACCGAAAAATAAATTTTCAAATAAAAAAGTTAGAAATTCCTAAAGTTATCGGTTTATTTGAAACCTCATGAAACTACTTTGGAATTCGAATACTCGTATACAATTTTTCTTTTACGAATGCGATGAAGCAATGTAACAGAATTACATGCAAATTAAAAATAGGAAAAAGGGTATGTTGCATTTTATTGAAACACGTTAATGTCTTAAAAATTATATTAGCCATGTAGCCTTCACCACAATGAATACAATTTTGCAGTCGCGCATAAAAGTTTGCTATTATATATAATAACAAGTTTGGTGGTTTCAGCAAGTTACACTATATTTCGACAAAACAAGCAGGAATATTTTCCAAATTTTTCCCGTCCGTTTCACTTCGTAGTTTATATTTCTTGATCTACTTAATAATTTTCGATTGGACGGCATGAGATCCGAAGTGTATGTTTCTCATCCCCCAGTAATCAGGAGCTTAAACAAGAAGAGTAAAATGCGCCAAGTTAATATTATTATAAATTATACAACTCTTATAAAAAAAACATGCAGACGATTCATGTACTGTGCTCAGATTCGTATTAAAATCTAAATTAGATCAATCCTAATATTTAATACACCTTCTGTTCCGGAAAGTTCAAGAAGACTATTTCTAGCATAGAAGGAATTTATTTCAGACGTACCCAAAGTATTAGAAATAAGATTAATTATCTGTATTAACATCATAATTGGTAATAGAGAAACTGAGTGAATATGTTGCATTCATTTTTGAAGCACGAAAAGAAAGGATTTTTTTCTCACGAATCATGTAACCGGAAACCATAATATTACCGATTTTTTTTTCCCCTTTTCCAGGAAAGGTTAAATTTCATCTGACCGGAAGAAGATCAAATAAAAGCACAGTAGGGCACAATGCTAAAGGCGTTCCTTGATGAAAAGGGGGCGTTGGCGTGGGCAGGATGCAGAAAGGTAAAGCTTGACCTATTTCTTCACTCTTTCGTTTTGCTTTTTTTTTTTTTTTTTTTTTTTCCCTGAGAAATTTAAAAGTTGTTGACTCTGAGTTAGATGGATATAAAGTTAGAAATATTATAACTGAAACTTAATCCATATTATGATGTGCAAAGATGTTTAAGATAAAACAATACAGAGTTCTAAAAACTTGCAGGTAATTTACATTAAATTTATACCACGGTTTCCAAAGAACTGATGTATTTACATACGATGTACTTTTTGATTCAAATACGTATATTCAGAAGTTTGTATCGCTTGATTTAATAGAATGTAAAAATAATAATAATAATAATAATCCTGCACTCGCAGGTAATATGTTTTAAGCGCTGTACATATAATGTACATAGCTTACGGCTGTTTGTAGCTTCCTGAAGGCTGTACATATAATGCGATATCTATATAAGATGAGCTAAAAGCAGTAAGTTTGAATTCCCATATTAAGCATAGTAAGCCATTACCATTATAGAATTGGCATAATAGCCATTATCATAATGGAAATTGTACCATTTATAGAATGAAGTAATAATAAAATAAAATGATAGTTTTTTGTCCACCTGCAGGGTAAATTTCCCTTTCTCTTATATATATCTGAAAAAAGGGGATTCTGACATTTTAGTGATTGTTCCAGAGATGGTGTTGAGCCTCTCACGCTATAAATGAGCTTGGCCACAACGACAGAGGTAACCATGGTTATAGAAACTATGAGCTGTGTGGCATCTGGGTCCGAGGATTATGGACGCGTGTACGAAAAGCTGTCAGTGATTTGAGAGGAATTCTTCAGTATTTATCTCAACCATTTGCCGTACCCCCTATAATACAAGATCCCAAAATATGCTGACGATACTATCCGGAAACTCCTACAATAATAATAAATAATGCCCAAACGTTAAATTGATAATTTACAGTTTGGACACACTGGTGCAATTTATGCAACTAAAATTAAACTCAAGCAAATGCCGTGTCATTCTATTCAAGAGGTACGGTAGAAAAACGTAACACCCTCAACGGTTGTATGTGTTCATGTACGCATGTGTATATGTACGTACGTATGCACAGATATGCATGCATGTGCATAAATATATATATAATTTATTATTATTATATATATGTCATAATAAAAGCTAAGGAAATGACGGAACACTGTAGATGCGTGATTAGACCCATATTGAAGAAGAATTTTGATTGCGTAGTATTTAAAGAACTTGGCAGTCGCGGCAGTTTTAATTCCATTTTTATTTCCAATTGATATTTGTGGCCACAATCACTTGGCACTCTAGTCGTGCCTTTCCACAGAAGATTTACATTTTTGATATTGTTGAGATAGAAAGCAAGCCAGCGAAATTACATCTTAGCAGAGTAGAGAGCAAAAGCTGAAGTGCGTAGTTATGAAAGATGGAAGCACGCGAAGAGAAAAGTTTTGGTTTACAAGGTCAGTTTCAGTTCTTAATTATTACGTCATCAGAGTTGCGCGGGCCATAGAGTGATCTAGAAATGACGCAATGCAGAGAAGTTATTACGATTTTAGAATAAAGAGGAAGAATTAATGTTTATAGTTATATTATAATTCTGATTCATATATTTTATCTTACATATTCCCCCTTCAAAAAGAAAAAGGCGTAGCGACAGAGAAGCCTTTTAAAGAGAAAGAGTTTAAAGCACTAGCAAATGTTAAAAAAAAAAAAAAAACATAAATCATAAAATTTTTGTTCCTGTAAAGTATAATTTATAAATATCAATTTTTTTAAAATAAATTTTAATTTTTAGAGTCCTATTGAATTTTTCAGCATTTCAGTCCAAAAGTCTTTTTTGTTTGAGAATTCACATAATCATAATTCTTCAGGGAAGGTTCTTGTTATCACAGAATATCACAAAATAAACTTTTACATAATCATTACTTATAATTAAATGTAATGCACATAAATATTATGATACTTAATTTCATACTGATAAATTATATTTTAACATCATATAATAATAGGATTAAGCTTTTCAGAAATTTATGGTTTCACCGTTATCATCTTTCATTTACAATTCCTGATTTTACCAAACTGGAAGCCTCGCAACACTTCTAAACAAACATATCCATCAATAGGCTGTCCTCTTGAGCTAACCAGTGTGTTCTCTGCACTGGTGGCCCAGGGTGCCTAGGCAGTTACTTGAAAAGGCCTCCGTTCCTTGCATAAGGTAACTGGCCTTTGAGAACTGCACTAATACATTCCATAATAAAAAATATAATAATAATAATAATATAAAAAAATTACACACACTCATAAAATGAGAGCCTCCAACATTATCTTACTTGAAGAGGGTGAAGGGAACAACTGTACAGAGGTAATTACAGGCCTCTGTTGAAGGAACCAGTACTCCCTCGACATACACTATACTTAACATACAATCACCCATAAATTTAACATGCATTTACCATAATTTCATATTACGTATCTGTAATAATTTCACTTATTTTTTTACACCTTTATTTTTAGAATAATTATAAAATTCGTATTCAAAATTCTCAACAAAATTTCAAAAACATAAAAACTTATCTTAATATCCTTCCCTATGAATAATTTAAATAGCTTAAAATTCGTTACTTAATTTGCTCACACATAATTATGAAAAATTAGAAAAATTAATGAACAAGAATTTCAGATTTTCTCAAAACAAATTGCAGAAATTTTAACCAAAGTTGAAATGAAAACTATAGAATCCGCAGCACATTAAATAATTTAGTTCCTGAGCTAGATTCACACGAATGTAATAATTTTTGAGCTGTTGAAAAAGCGGAAGTGCAAATAATTTTCTGTCGCACATACTTGCAAACACTAACTCAGATCGACCTTGAACCCGCTGTAATGCTTAATTCCTAAACGGTAATTCACTGATGATTTCCTTTTCACTAGGCATTCGAACTTCTCAATTTATCGAGAGATTACTTTCAATCTGTAAACACTACGCGTGATTATTTTTTTTGAAGCACTTGCAAAACACCACAGCAGAAGAATGATCTGTTATTTTTTAAACACTGAAAAAACAAATTTGATGATTCACTTCTTTCACATTATCTTGGATTTATCACAAAACGATGATTTGAAGAGCTGAATTAAATTTTCCATTGAGGTTTCAGGCTGCAGGAAACTATCCTGCCGGCTTAATTGTCATAATAAAAAGCAAAGGAAATGACGGAACACTGTAGATGCGTGATTAGACCCATATTGAAGAAGAATTTTGATTGCGTAGTATTTAAAGAACTTGGCAGTCGAGGCAGTTTTAATTCCATTTTTATTTCCAATTGATATTTGTGGCCACAATCACTTGGCACTCTAGTCGTGCCTTTCCACAGAAGATTTACATTTTTGATATTGTTGAGATAGAAAGCAAGCCAGCGAAATCTCATCTTAGCAGAGTAGCAAGCAAAAGCTGAAGTGCGTAGTTATGAAGGATGGAAGTACGTGAAGAGAAAAGTTTTGGTTTACAAGGTCAGTTTCAGTTCTTAATTATTACGTCATCAGAGTTGCGCGGGCCATAGAGTGATCTAGAAATGACGCAATGCAGAGAAGTTATTACGATTTTAGAATAAAGAGGAAGAATTAATGTTTATAGTTATATTATAATTCTGATTCATATATTTTTATCTTACTATATATATATAATTTATTATATAATAATTGAAAAGAAAATGTAAAGCTACTGGTAACGTAAGACCTATCTGGTCTCAAAAATTTTTGCGCATAATGCTGCAAAAAGATTTGAAAGAATAATAGTACATTGCAGCAACCTTGCTAAAAAGTTACCAGGAGCTGTAGCTCTACGAAATGTTGTAACATAGTACTACATAAACAATAAGAAATTTGTCTGGTAAAACTGGAAAAACTGTATAAGCGCGATAAAACTGCCAAATTTTAGTGCTGGAAGACTTGCTAATGCACGAAAAAAATTAATGAATCTGACCGTTGTGAAATGTGAAAAGTTAACTCACATGAAAAATAGATCGACGGAAAAATATATATATATAAGGAAGTTACAAAAAACATGGATTATAAATGTCAATATATAAAATGCCTATACATAAAAAATTAAAATTAAAAATTGCCAATATATAATATGCCTATACATAAAAATTAAAATCAGAATTAAAAAATAGAATAAAGACACAAAAAGCATCAAAAACAAGCTACAAAAACAATAATTAAATAGCGGAAAAATGGTAAATTAGCCCACTCGTACTCTCAGTTGGCTTTTCAATTGAACCATTGAAGCTCTTGTTTAATGCGAAAAAAAATTTTTATAAAAGAATATTAGTATTTCCGAAAACGTTTTTCTGGAATAAATCCTTTTTTGTAGCTCCACAGCTCTGTTTATTATATATATATATATTATATACATACATTAAGTACGTTTCTGAATCCGGTCCCGATAACAGAAGAGTACCCATGCACATAAACAGCCATCAGCTCCCAACTATGAACTCTGTTAAATGTCTTGGAATCATGTTGGATGAGCAGTTAAATTTTAAACAGCATGTTAGTTACACGCTCAATAAAGAAAATGCCGCCCGCCTACATGTTCATCTACAGTTTAATTGGTCGTAAATCGAGCATATGGGACTAAAAGTGAACTCTCTATGTTGCATTTATCCTCCCTATTCTTTTCTGCGGAGCTTCAATTTGGTCAACAGCTCCAGAAACGTACCGTAAGAAAATCTGAATTTCTCAAAATAAAATTCCCAGAAACATTACCAGCGCCCCTTGGTTAGTGCGAAACATCCGTTTAAATCAAAAACTTGATATCCCATATGCTCAAGATTTCATGCTGATGAATGCCCGCAATTTCTGCAAATCTGACTATCTGAGCAAGTTCTGACTATCTGCATTTTATTAATTTAATAAATTATGATTCAACGATTCTGTACCCCTACAAGCGGCCAAGGACGATTTTTCACAATGCATCTTATATACATG